AATACATGTATAGTTCATTAAAAAAAAATTCTAATATAAAAATCTAAATATATGTAATTCTATTTACATTAAATAAAATAAAATTCAGAGTTTCAAATATATATATATATATATATATATATAAATAATCAACTTTTTAAAAATAATAGAACATAAAGCTATTAAATATGTATATTTATATAAATGTATTACTTACTACTATGTCATATCCAAATCAATGTTAATATATGTAAGTGTATAGTTACATATTTTATATATAAAAAATCAAAATTCTGAAAAAAATTAATTTTTAGTTTCTAATTTTAATAATATGATAATATATTTATTCATTGATTTATATCTTAATTACTCTACACTTTAGCATTTAAATATGATTTTTTAAAATTTAATTAACATTATAAATTTCTAAGTATTGTAGAACTATATTTTGAACTAGTAATTTTTATTTCTTAATATTAATTTTAAGTAATAAATATTTTTCTTTATTATGTTTAAGTAATGAATATTTTGAAATTGCTTAGAGTTATAGTTTGTTTTTTTAATATGTATTGGTTTTGTATCTAGTGTATAGTTATTAAAACACAATTTTTTATTTAACTTATTTAAATTATGAATATCATATACTAAAATTATTTTTTCCAACCAAAAATCAAATCTTATAATAAAAATAGAAATTAATTATGAATTTTTAATTACTTTTTAGCTACAGGTTAGAAAAACAACAAAGAAATTAACACAACACATAGGTGATTTTTTTAAGATTTAAACCAATTTATACACAATTGCAATTATTTCAAGCTAACTACTATAGTTGCTTAAATCCTGTCTAGGGAATATCCTACACTCTCACCAAATAGGTAAAACACCATATAGTGAGGGCACTATCTCCGATCTTCCACAAAACCCCTATTGGAATGTTCATCAAATAGTTTGTAAGCCTGCTATATGTATGTATATATATATATATATATATATACGTGTGTGTGTGAAAAATAAAATACGATTTTAAATAGATAGAATTTGGTTAGAGTATGCATATTTCTTATTCCTATTTTGTGGTATAAGACAAATTTCAGTAAATAATAATACCTAATGATACTTATAATAAGATAATGGAAAACTAAACAATTTTTTTAGTTTTTTTGATATATTCTATACACACACATATGTAGATTTCTTAGGATTTAAGGACCTTCAAATACAAAAAAAATCATACTACGTATTGTATAAATAATACTAAAAAAACAACATATGTAGTTAAATAGCCACCAAGTAATAATCTTATACTTTTATATAAGATCAAAGCATATTTATTGGAAGGTTTTATTCTTTAAAAAAATTATTGAAATAAAAAATGTAGTATTAGAATCTTCTGTATTAAAATAAGGCTTAATATTGAATAGATGTTGATTACAACCAATGTACTCAATTGTTACAGTTTATGGCATTTTCTTCTCTAAATTCTTACACAAGCCAATACATCTCTGAGCTTTTCAATAATTTCTATTAAAAAAAGGTTTAGATAGTTTTGTAAGATTTTAAATCATATAATTTCTTGTGCTTCTTTTAGATGAATGTTATATGTACTCAAAAGGCTTTGAATAGGAAATTGTTTAACTGTGAGTATGATAGATTTTTGTGGCATTTTCTGTTTTTTTTTAAAAGAGTGTTTAACAATTTTTGAATATATATTATTTTTTGGACTCCTACAGAATCAACTGTGGCAAACATCCAGGAAGATATGTTATACCATAAATATGTTGAAAGGTCATTTACACCAACTTCATATAACAATCAAAACACTGAGATTTTTTTTTGTGTAATATTGACCAGTATTTATAATTTAAGATTAAATTTTATTTTTATATATATTTATTTATACTTTAAGTAAAACATATTTTTTAAAACATTAATATACCTTAATAATCTATAACAATCACCAAAATTAAATACCAGATGTATAAAACAGTATCAAAAATATATAAATACAGACACTCATTTAAACTTAAGTATATTCGATGGATTAAAATTCAGTATTGTTAGTTAAATTAGAGGGAAAAAGTTATATATTTGAGGCAGGATAAAAAAATAAATTAGAGAATCTTACACATCTAATAATTGGAAACAAAAATACCTTTTTTTTTAAAATTACAGAAAATATATAGAATTATAACACTGTTTGATAAATATACTAAAATAATCTACAATTAATGCTTTAAAGTATTTTATTATATTTTAAATTTTAGATGATATATATATATATATATATATATATGAAACTTAAAGCTTAAAAGTATGCAATGTTCAATCATGAGTTTTACCAAAATTGATTTCAAACGACTTATCAAAATTTAGGATGTATAAAAATACTTATATACTATTATATAAATTTTTTATTTTGAATAAATAACATTTGAAGCATCTTAAATTTTTTTTGTCAAATTTTTTGGTATAATAATATTTTAAAAATAAAATCCGATATTTTTATCATCAAAATTATCTCATGAAAAGTACGCTTAGTAATATAATTTTTTTATATATGACACCATGTATTAATTTTTTAAAAGCAACTCCAACTTCAAATTATATTTCAGTTGAATAGTTAGTAGCTGGGTTTGAGCTTCACCAAAATACTTGCTTCAATGGATTTAAATATCTTTATTTATTTTTACTATTTATTTTTTAAATAGCTTTAGTTTACTATTTTTGCTATTTATTTTTTGAATAGCTATACACATTTAGTACAATTACAATGTGGATTTATTAACATTAGCATCTTGTGTAAACTAGATTTACATATTCCACAAGGGCTCCAATTTCATTAGTTGGTGGCCCTTGCCAAAAAAAGCTCTTCATGCCACACCAATTCTACTTAAATAAATTTCTTTCTCTATTGTACCTTAACTACCACATTTATCTCTTATTTGTTTTTTCTATTAAATCCAATAATAATTCTGATCAGCCCTTTGACTGCATCATTTTCATAATTAATTCCACCAAGTTTCAACTGGGATTCAATTTTTAGAATTGATATAAGATAGTCTGTAGGGAGAATTGATTTTTTTTAAAACAATACCAACTCAAGAATGTTTTTGGAAGTTATACAAGAATATTGGTTTTTTTGTTTTTTTTGTTTATTGTTTTTTTTTCAAGAGCTGTCTGTTTACATCTTTTACAGCTCAGACTAAAGTGTTAAGCTTTCAACCAAGAGGAAAGTGGTGTGAAAGGGAAACGTTGAATTCAATTTGCTAGATTTTTCATTTCAGATGCAATGATTTCAAAACTATGTGTAACAAAACAAGTAGGAGTACTAACATTTATCAACATAAATGGTTGTGTCCAGTATGAGTGATTGCATGGAGAGGTTAAGGCCCTTGAGATGCTCATGTTGGCAGTCAAATCTTGTGGAGAATAAGATGTGTCTATTAGTGGCCATGGCCAGTGCAGAGTCACATACTTGGTGGGAGGGGCAAGCCTGTAGTGGACACTGAATTGGCCCAGATTGACTAGAGCTCAAATACTACACCCAGGTGCAGTATTCACATGTCTTCCTTCTCTTCCTCCTTTTTTCTTTTACAAGTGGATTTAACAAGTGTTGCAGCATCAGTCTTAGTGAAGAATGCCACACCAGTGGTCTAAACCCACAGGCAAGAACAGCTGCATTGCTTTTGAATTTCTAAAAATAAAAGGAGTGTTTTTGAATTTTTATTATAATTGAATAAAAGAAGTAATAGAAGCAAACACGAGTGATGTTTACAATTACATTATAGTTTCTTCCCACTTGTGCCCCCCATAGCATTTATCACAATTTCATCGGAATGCAGAATACACACAGTTAGTTCAACATCAAATCAACAACACTGACAATGTCAAGGAAGGTGAGGATTTCATCAGATCAAACTTCTGGGCACCCTATTTCCAATACAAACACACACACACAGGTATTTCCAGCGACTTGTATGAAGTCAATGGATAACAAGGGATTGCACTTGAGATTGAATTTTCATACAATGCATTTGACCATACACCTCCCTCCCTTGAACATGGGTAGACACATTCTTAGCTAAGTGCTAAGATAAAAACCTCTAAGTGCTCTGCACCAACCCCCCAAATGGAGTGACATCAGCCACCCAAAAAAGCATGTATGGAGTGTGTGCCAGATTACAAACCTCCTCTCCCCTGCTTCATCCTTTTAAAAGAAGCCACCATGGTCTTTCAACTTGGCAGTGAGGGAAAATGATACCCCCATTAAACATCATCCGCATTCAGCCCCCCTGTGGAGTGCAACAGGAAAAAGTTGGAACAAGTTACAAATGAATCAGTGGGCGGAGAATCAAGCAGCAGTAGTAGCTCATATAGTGTGGGCTAGGGGGAAGGGCGGAGGGGGGCGGGGTCAGGCAAGTGGTTCGTCAGGAGCTCGAGTGATGATGACGGCAGGGTTATTAACGGGAGTGGCCTAATCATGGGCGGAGCTGGGGAATGTACTGCCCGGAGGGAGGGAGGGAGGCCAGAGCAGGCCTGGGGGCAGAGGGATACGTAGCGGTAGCCTCCAACGTACAGCGGCAAAGAACCAATCCTTAGGGTCGGGAGGAAGGCTGGAGGAGGACTGATGGAAGCTGGAGGCACGGAGGGAGGTAGTCCTTTGATGGTGTGCGAGGCTGGGCTGCGATTAGATGATGGTTCGACGAAAGGATAGATTGCGATGCAGGTTGGCAGCAGGGTGAGAGGAATGTCCTAATGCATTGGAGGTTGGCTAAGCTCGTCTTACCGCCCTACCCGGAGCCGTGTGAAGGCTATGCTACAGGGGGTAGTGGTACTGTTTGTAGCCGCCGTTTCCGTTTCTGGCTGGAGCCTCGCTTCGCGGCGTTCCCCTTTCGGTCATCCTGACTCGTGATCGCTGCGCTGCTGCCGTTCTCCTCTCACGTTCCCCCTTGGCGACGTCAGCTCCCCCCCCCCCCTCCCACATGCATCCGCCTGCTCCCTATTATATATGTGCCAGCCTTTCCGCAACAATTTCATTCAACTGCTTTCCTCGTCCCTCGAGTCCTTTCCATAGTCACAGCACACGCTGTGTGTCTTTCGCGTTTCAGACAGAAACAGGATTAGCCGCTCCGATCTGCTTTTCCGTGTCAGTCCATGCGTTTAAAGCGTTGTCCGCAGGATGTATTTTGGTTTGGTGCTTGAAAGAGCAATCGTGGCGTTGTGCCAAGATGTTGCTCTAGTCGGCCATCGCTTCCTTCGAATTGTCAAGGCTCCTGAAGCAACAGTTCTGGCTGGTCGTTGATTCCGCCTGAATTTAGAAGCGGAGCCCTGGTGCTTAGTTTTACTTCCACCCACCGATTCTTTTCACCCTCCCAGTGGTTGTGTGTGATGGGACACTTCGGTTTCCTCCATTCCTTTCAATTTTGACTTTTTTGCCTGTTCGCACGTGGACGTATCGAGGCACTCTTACTTTCTTTGAAGCCTTTCGTCGGCGATTATTACACAGTTCACTGAGAACCTCTCTTTAGGCTACAAAACTGTAGGGAATCTGTGCTTCCAGCTGATCACGCACCGTGTGATTGATGTATCGACGTTCCAAGCGAAGATATCATTTGAGCGCGTCTGTCATGTCTGATGTAGTAGTGATCACAATATATACTGACCATTCGACTTGTTACGCATGTAATATGAACAGATCTTAACAGCTCTTTCAGAGCAGACACTTTGTGACATGTCAATTGGAGGTATAAGTGACTAAATTGGTACTGCCTCTGTGGTGCTAAAGCTCCCGGATGATAAGCCGTGTAGTGCTCGCTAAAAGTTTTTTTGTGTTCGCTTAGTGAACGATCTCGCTGTTGTTTTCAAGATCGGTGTCTTCAATCAGTCGTAGTCAGGTTAGGCGAATCTGGTAAGCCGTAGTCAGTGCCCCTCCGTGGTTTTCCTTTGAATCGTCAGGTCTGCCAGAGGGGGCTTGGTGAGGTTCCATACTGGAGATTTTGGTTGCTATCTTCTGCCTGCCCGAATCCCTTTGAGCGCGGTTTGAGTGATGTTGCTCGATATTGAATTTGGATCATCGGGTGTTTCGTGTGTTGATGTATGTGGCTTGTCTTTGACTTTTAACCTCATCACGTTAGCGTTTATACCACGCCTGACATATTTCTGCGATATTTTTTCATTTTTTTATTTTTATTTAATAAATAATTTCTGATGTCGAAACTATCTATGCTTGAGATAGATCACGTCAAGACCAACTTAGTTTCAATTGGCTAATTGCCTGGCGGTTTACGATAACAAGATATGTAAATCACTCCATAGGGGTGGAGGTTATCTTGTCACGAAGAGTTCTTAGTTCTCCATGCTTCTCTAACGTTGCATGGAGTCTATGTCTGGACCTCCTCCATTTGCTCTTTCAAGAGAATGTGAGAATTTCGAGATTCGGACATAGCCTTCATGCATGCTAGAGTAGAATGGAATCTCCTGATCCTCTTGGAACTAGCATTTTCGTTACAAGCGAAGGCCGTCATACTGCTTGATGTGTCAACCACCGTCTGCATGACTGAGTATTCCCTCATGGAATTCAATTTTTACTGGATTAGGGAATGTGACGATTGTGTGCAGTTAACTCCGTATTCTGTTTGTTGACAGTTTCTAAACTATGAAAGGACGGTGGGTAAGAGTTGGGATCCTAACAATGAAGTTGAAATGTACAATCGAAGTATGATATTACCTTTTGATTATTCCTCAGAAAGTTTGCTAGAACACCAGGATTCTACTGTTTAGGAACAGTTCTGTGTATTATTATCCTGCTATCAGTAAACTAGTTCAGTGTATTTAATTGCTTGGGATAGACTAAATGTGCTTGATTATGCAGGTGCCAATATACATGAAGAGTCGAGCGATCAACCATCTCTCTCAACAGTTATTCGAATCCCACTTTGGTCTCTTTGTAATGTGGTAAACCTCGTTACAAAGCTTGTTCCCTCAAGATATTCTTTCTTTTGGACAGGTTGACTAAAATTATGCAGGTCTGGCGTCTAGTTTGTCGCTAAATCGAGTGACTGAAAGGGCTGGTGAATTCTGACCCGGAGAACTGCACTTACCATCTCCGCTTGGTACTGTTGCGACCTGAACACGTGGTACATGTGTATCTGTCAGGCAGTAACGCTGTAGTTGATCTTGGTAAGGCTTCCGTATGTCGTTTACTTAACGCCTGACCTGTGAAATGCACCATCGGCCACAATTCATGGTCCTAACCAGCGTAATGAATGATTTGATGTATGTAAATGGAATGGAGTTCTCAGTATCCGCTCCATTACATTCAGCTTATCATGTCAATGAGTTCCCTTCAATTGTTCGTAAAGCTGTTGCCGTGATAACGGATTGTAAACCCAGTACATGGAACATAGATTGGCACACCGTGTACTTGCTGGAATGACTTCTTTGTCTTTTGATCTTTAAGACGCAATTTTTGTTTTCGCTGCAATGAATGCGAGCATCCCTTTAGCTCAGACACATGGACTTGTGGTAAAGAGATGATCAAGTGCAGCGCAATCAGTTTCCATTGCTGTTTTAAGGTCATGCTTTACTGCGTGCAGACAGGGTACAGGCATTGCTTGCTGTCAATCTTTTGGTGTGACACAACCACTGGTTTATTCCTATTATTGATCTGACCACCGACTGCTAAGTCTTAAAATTGCCACGTGAGTGTATTCTGCTAACCAACTGACGGTTCAGAATCGGTCAATGCAGGTGCTGGTATTCTGTAGGTGCAATATCATCTCTCACTCGCAGTTTCCTCTCGTTTTGCAGGTCGATCAACAGCTCTGAATCTATCAATTTCCTTCTACTGTGCACTGTAGGAATCGAAGTTGCATATGTTCCTAGTAGCCATGTGGAAGTAGATTTCTTAATCAGCATCTATCAAAGCGGAGTGTAGATTTTTCATGCTCCTTAGAAAGTTGTATCTGTGGTACAAACCATTGATATTTTTACATTAAAGCTGTATTTACCAGCTGAAAGCCATGTACATCGTCTTAATAAACCTTTTCGGTACGATCACAATGTTATTGTTTTCTTTATTGCGATTGGTAAAGGTTTCTGTATAGACATTTCCTTTCATTTGAGAATGTGACATGCAATGTAAGAGACGGTAGATCACCTCGCCTGGTCCAACCCACACATTACCTCAACTATAAATCCAACATTGGGCGTTTGATCGGCTGAAAAAACCTTGTAGACGAACATCAGTTTCGAAGCAACAATGTAGAACTGATTGTACACTCTGGCAAGTGAAACGATTGAGTTATGCACATTCCTGAAAGGTTTTTCGTACCACTTGTAAACTTCGACGCTGTTAGATGAATGAAGTTATCAATCTCCTCTTGAGAGGGAGTGCGCGTATTGATAATCTGACAGCAAGCTCTCGTGCATTCAAACAGTTAGTCTGATGTAGACAACATTTGCTTCCAAAAAAATTCTAGGAATTCTGGCACCAGTGCTGATACTTCGATGCAATTAGTAGTCCCCCTTGTTAGATAATCATCTGCTGCATGAAATCCCGGTATAGCTGCTGAAAGCACGTCACTGAAGGAAGATTATTGGTGCTTGTTGATATTCTGCAATGGCGTCGCAGAAGAATAAATTTGTAGTTTCATATTGATCTTCTTTACCTATCTTTACGCGAACAATCCGCACCTTCCAAAGCTGAACCGCGAAACGTACTAATTCTGGGGAGGATGTTTCCAGCAAAAGAGTCGTTCCGTACTGGTTACTGCATTTGTGCTAAATGTAATGCTGGGCCTTTATAAACTGCAACCTTCCAATAAGTTTGATGTGTCGCTTAGAGACACTTTTGAGATGTTCTGGATTGCCATTGACGTTTTGGTGTGCTATTTGGTATTACAACTCTATAAATTACTTCTAAAATTAGCTCTCGTTATAATGACCTCCTGATCCTCACTATGCGCATCTGCAGATTGTTTCAAAAGAAAAAGCAGACGAAAATCAGGAATTGCCAGATGTCTTCGCACAGCAGTGAACACCTGTGATCGACTTCCAAGCTCGTCTACAACCCACTGTTTAACTAACAATGATTGCACCGAGTATTTAGGTTCACAGAGGAACTTCACCATGCTGAGCTGCATTACGCGACCTGGGAAAGCGAAACTGGTTCCTCTTTCGCTGAGGAAATAAATGCCAACACCGAGAATGAATTAGCTAATCTGGAAAGTGAGGTGTGTTAGGTACACTTACCTTGTATAAAACCATCCAGGAGCGCTAAGTGCAAGACACGAATGCGAATTGGCTTTGGGAGCTGGCGAGCTACAGCTTCGCAAGAAAAATGAAGTCGAGCACATCTGTGCGCAGGTAATTAATCGGCACAGTCCGGAGGTAATGCGGAGGGGAGATTGATTTGAATCGTAAAGAAGTTTCATACCGTCGACCCACTGACCACGCCAGAAGGGCATCTGCTGGAAATGGTAAACGCTGAAACATTACAGATCGACTTACGGTTATCAGTGCCCGTAGCAGCTTGTCGTTTCTCTCGGTCGTCCTTTCCAGTTCTGGGATCTCGTGGAAATCAGTGTAATCGACAGTTCATAAGTTCATACCCGATATAGCTCACGATCTGTTCCGTTGCAGCCTTTTCTCAGTATGAAAAATCTCTCTCCTTACATCTGCATGAATTCACATATACAACAACACTTTGTCGATTCCCAAGTATAGCCCTTACAGCTCCCAGCCAGCTCGTCACGTGTCTACAGCGCATTGAACACTGAGTAGGATCAAGGTGTTAGTTTTGTATTTTTCTGTGGAAATGACGGTATCTTTAGTATGGGTCACCTACAATTTGGTCTTTGAACTTAATGAGCTGTTATGAATACAGTTATTCTTATTCTTAACAGAGATAAAATAAAAACAAAACAAAACAAGGAAGGTGTATCCGCAACAATCTCAGATCATTTCTATTTTGTGTACTACTTTTAGGTTTAGATATCCAACTTAAAATTCTAAGATCCTCTGTGTAGCAAGGAATTCATTTTGACTCATCATACTTCTGTACATTTTCCATTAATAGTTTCTGTACTATATTTGTTATTTCTCAAAGAAATATCATGTACTGGGTATTTAATACTTTTGGTGTCCACCATTTGTTTACGGTGTGAAGGAGCCTCGAATTTCATGTGTTTGCCTGTGAAATGCGGGGACTGTTCTACACTGGTTTGGAATTGGGTTTCAAACTTATTCGCATCCTATAGTTGCATTTTAAAGAGATTTTGAAGCCTTTTCCTAAGCATTTGATCACCAAATTCAAATTTCCACAACACAGTAACGATATAATTTTCTGAAAAATCTTTGAAGAATGCAGAGATCAGTACCCCAACATGTAAAAATTGCCTCAATGATCTTGTTCAAATAATTTAATAGTTAGATATATGAAAACTTGTTGAACATTATGATGCAACTTGTTATATTAACACAGAGCACCCTCATTTTTAGTAATATACATATGCTATCAACATAATTTTTTAAAAAATAATTCACATATTTAAAAATAGAAAACATTAAAATTAAAGGCACTAAACTTAAAATCACAAAAATCCTCAATACATTTCATAGTATCATTAAATTTATTCTTCCAAATAATGAAATGCTGTTTTTTGAGTTGATGTTTACGTAATAAAGTATAAATAAGGTCATAAAAAATTTCAAAATAAAAAATTAATCAATAAGTATATTTGTAAATAAATAGATAATCAAATAGTTATTTTTCTAAAAACATATTCATTAAATATCATGTACTGGGTATTTAATAGTTTTTTTTTTTTTTTTTTTTTTTTTTTTTTATTTATTTTCTTCTAAAAACCTATTCAAGAAATTTGGATTAAAATAGTTTTAAAAAATAAAAAATAGACGACAGATTTTTTATAATTATAGTTTTTATATTATATTTTATAAATAAATTAGTTGTCATAAAAAAGATAATAAAAATATATTTTTAATTATATTAAATTGTCATATTTAAAGATGTATAGATTTAAGTTTTTAAATTCAAATTTGAAATTACAGTCTGGTTTATGAATGTGAATATATATACCTTTACATATATATATATATATATATATATATATAAGTGGAAGCCTATGTTGTTAGCAATGAAAAAGGTGTAAAAGTTTAAAACTAATGATGCATTCACCCAAAAGCAACAAATATTAAAACCTTCTGCAAACCACCATCCTCTAAATAAATCTCAAAGTCAATACTTGTAACTATTCATCTCCTTTAGACTCACACTCCCCTGAATTCAATTATCAGATTCAAACATCATCCTACATGCTGATTGGTATTCTAATAAACTATAGATTCAATACTCCATCTCAATTAATTACTGTGAGAAGCCTCTAGCTCCGATTCCCCACATAATACAATCCTTTGTGAAGAAACCACCTACTCAATTTTTCTCACTTTCTTATTTCTCTTGCCCACCCCCTCCTTCTCTCTCTCTTTCTCTCTTTGTGTTGCACCAGGTTATGGAATGCTGACACCACAAATACTAAAGCCCACCATTGCTCTCTATCTTGGTAGTTGTGCTGCACTAGACAAAGAGAAAGCAAGCAAATCCTTGCCAAATATGATGAATGATGAATGAGTAGGTGAATACGAAAACATCATGTGATAAATATACTCTTGTTTTTCTATCTCCATTTTTTACATTTCCTTCAATTACTACCACCAAAGATAATATTCATAAATAAGTCTCAACATTGTTCTTACAACAACACTATAATATAATACAAATACTCTCCACTTGGTATGACTCCCATTGATTTTCATATTGACTTCCATGGATATCCATGCTTCTTCTCCTACACATCAATACTATTTTTTTTGATTAATTTAAAGAGACTTAAGAGTTAACAAAATTAGGAGTCTTTTGAGTTGATGCATAGAAACTACTTTTGCTTCTCTTCTGATGAAAATAATGAGAAATGTTACCAACCAAAAGACTTTTTCGTCTCCTCTTGTTTATCCTCTAGGTTGTTTTATATAATAGATATCAGATTTTAGAGTGCTTGAACAATCCTATAGTAGTTATAAATACATTTTGAAGGTATCATGGATTTTTTAAATAATCAATAAAACTTTTTAATTATGATTATTAATTAATATTTTTTTTTAATAAAAGAGAAGCATTTTACTTTTTTTTTCATATCTAACAAGTTTTTTTTTTTTTTTAATTTTTCATTTATATAACGATCTTTAAAAAGTCTTTATACAAATCAATTGTAAGTTTTCTTCTTTTACTTTTCCTTTTAAAAATTTAATTAATGTTTCTGATTACATAAAAAGAAAAAAGAGATTTTAATTCATACAGTTTAGCTCAAAGGCCTTGCTAAATATCTCTTTTATTCAAAAATAAATATATAAATAAAAAATAAAAACTAAATATTGATTTTATTTCCGTCATTCTATTTTTATTACATTTAAAATAACCCTAATTGATTTTGATAATTATAATAAGATACTAAAATTAATTAGCATATTTTTATTTTACTTTTTAAATTTAATTTTATATTTTTCGAAATTAAGAACAGAATTATTTTATAATTAATAGTTTATGTAATACAACAATTGTCTTCAAATATTTAGTGTTTATTTTAAACTAATTAATTTATAAATAAAAAATTTATTTATTTATAAATAAAAATGTGGATCTTATCTTCAATATTCTTTGATTTACAAGAATTACATGTAAAAGACCACAATTTAAATTTAAAATTCAAAATTTTTCCATCCAAGTTTTCTTTTAATTTTTTTTTTGTTGATTTAGTGGAAAATACGTGATAATAATCATTAATTATATATTTTAATATCATAAAAATTTGATCAGTAGCTTATATTGAAATTGTAATACTTAAATGAGACAATACTATTGGTTCTAAAAATTTTATGGCTACTAAAGAGAAAATATTTAGATAAAGGAAACAATAAAGTAGAAAAAGGTAAAGTTAATAATAAAAGATAAAAACCAAATAAGAATTTACATATTATTTTAAATTTTTATCATATCCTTAAT